GCCCTGAAGGACCGGTCAGTTTGGAGCTGTTCGTGTCTAGGATGTGCTGGCGTGTACACAAAAGGCGCTAGCGTGCCAGGGCAGGCTCAAGCATGCTGGATCTCTCCGATGTGACGCATCTCCATTCTACGCTTCAGCTGAGCCTGGCTTGTCCGCACAGCAGAATCGCTCCTCGTTTGCAGTTATCCAAACTGATGCTGAGGAGTGACCCCCTACCCCCAGGAAAAGGGGGCTACAGGGATCAGAGCTGGGGCTCTCAGAGAGGTTCCCCCTGGCCCTCCATCTCTCAGCCTGCTCTCCTTTGAGCCCACAGCTCTGTTCCCTGCTCCCATTAGACTCCGTGCCTCTTACTCTCAAGTTCTCTCTCTCTCTTGCCCTCCCTGGCAGTGAGACCCTGAGGCAACAGAGCCCATTTTGAAAAGGACCCTGTCACAGAAGTAGAAAGTGAGAGCAGAATGGGAGAGGTACGCTCCTCACCCTCTGCACTGCCACTGTCACAGCCTCCAGAGCAGGGGTCGGCACCGTTTTCAAAAACACTGGCAAGTTCAACTTGTAAGATGTTGGCGTGCCAGGGACAGATGGCAGGGGAGCCACGAACGGCCTGATCCTTGTTGTGGCCGTGTAGCCCCTTCCCCACCATCCACCCAGAGGCATGCAAAATGTCTTTGAGTGCCACGCTCTGGCACCCGTGCCGGGGGTTGCCTACCCCTGCTCTAGAGAGTCGCAGGCAGGGAAACCCTGCTAAGTCCTTGCAGTCTGGCTAGGTGCATGAGGGAGCCTGTGCTTGGAGCTGAAACAAGTCAGCAGGGGGGTGTCTCACTGAGACTCCCAAGCAGCTGCTGGCATTTTCTTATTGTCAAGCCTGTAAATGAGAGATAAATAAAGATTCCCAGCCCAGGCTCCACAACATGACTCTCCTTCCCACGCTAGCACCAATTCTCTCTGAGGCCTAAGCTTGTTATTGAGGAATGCAGGAACGCCCGGAGGTGCTGACTGGGGTCAGGGCCTTGTTGACAGTGGTGTGGGAGACAGGATGAGCCAGTTCATGCCCTGAAGAGCTCAGTCAAAACAGCTGAAAGACAGGGGCAAGAGGTGTTATCCTCTCTTTCTTGCCCTGAGCGACTTCCCCAAGGTCATACAACTGAGCTGGGACCAGAACCCCAATCTCCTGAGCTCGGGATAAAGCTTCCAAACCTCCCTGCCTCTGCCCTCACCATGCCTCGGTTTCCCCAGCCAAGGAAAGTGAGGTGGCGAATACTAATACTTCCTCACTGCTGCCTTGTGAGAATGAATTTGTTGTCAAGTGCTTTGCAGATGAAGAGTGTGCGGTATCACTGGCAAAATGCTCACCCTATTTTCAGGCTGCCTAGCAATAGAGCCAGGTAGGGGAAAGGGGGTGGGGGGGGCACAGAAACCACGGGATGCACTATTCTAAGCAGAACCGGCTCCAAATAGAAGGCTTTTCACAGTTTTTTAGGAGGCGTCAGCAGCTCTTAATACTGTATGAAGCTGTGAATACTGTATGAAGTGGCGGTTCAGTGGGGAGTCAGCCCTGTAAATGTTTCATGCTGGAAGCTGCAGTTCTCCCGGTTGGCTCAGGGCTTGTTGTACACACTCAGTCTCCCCGCCCGGTGCTGACAGCGGTGCACAGATGAACAGGAGCCATTAACAAGAGTCTGTATAAAGAGGCCTACCTTAAGTGGATGCCCCAGACTCAATCCTGCCCTCTCTCATGCCAAGAGGAGTTCTGGATTATTATCTGGCTTATTTGCTATCAGCCTCCCTGGTGTTAAACAGCCCTGGCCTGGCTCTCTCTCTTGAGGCTGCACTTCCATGGCTGTCATGATACACCATGCAACACGGGACCCCTTTCCTACTCTGCTTGTTCCACTTAGTGCTGGGCTGGGGTTTGTGATTTTGCAAAGTGCTTGCTTGATACTTCTATTGCCTGCAGGGCCCGAATGGATATTAAGTCCATAAAACCATCCGTCTGAGATGCTGTGTCTCTGCAGCCAGCCAGATCATTAGACAATCTCAGTAATGGGAGTTGACTGAATTAGCCCAGTGTTGGACTGGTTCTCCCTAAAGGGGTTACTGGAGTTCATGTCAACGCTTAGTGGCTGGTGCATTCTAGCGGGGGGACAACCACGTGTGGCTTCTGCCTGGAAGAAAGATGCAGGGGGTTGTTCCTCCAAGTAATAAAATCAGAACTCCTCCTGCATGACTGCATTTGCCTGTTATTCGTTACATCCATGGAAGCACAATGGGGTTCTGACCCCCCCGGTGGCACTTTGAGATTTGGGCTCCTAGAGCAAAATGCAGACAAAGCCACCTGAGCCAGAAGTCAGCCTGGCTTCACTAGGAGCTAACTCCCAAGGCTCACTCTGAATTAACCCACCGGTACTGGGGGTTATGTCCTGGTTTACCTAGACCTAGGCTGTGCCACGCTCAAAATTAGACTTCAGTCTCTCATAAAATTCAGCCCAAACAGTGCCGAAAAGCTTGCAGCAGTTTCTGTGTATCAGGGCTCTGGTTTGCCGGCCCTGCCCCTTATGTGTTTAGAAAACAGTTTATATAGCAACTGGACAGAGAGGAGGAGAAAAAATACCTGTTGTGCTGCCTAGCTTCGGAGTTCTTAGAAGGGAAATTTTAGACCAAGCAAATAAGCAGGAGGGCTCGCTGCCCTGCCTCGAGCTACAGAGAACAGAGCGCCGTGTTCGTCACACCCAGACTGAGTACAGTTGTCTCACCCGAGACATAAAGCACTGGGTAAGAGTGCCAGCAGGGGAACAGAAGTCAGTACTAGTTCTAGCTCTGCTGCTATCCCTCTGTGACCTTGCACAAGCCACTTTCCCGCTCTGAGCCTCAGTTTCCCCATTGGTAAAAGGAAGAAAATGTTGTGCCCCCCCCAACTACCACCTTGGAAGAGAAAGGGAAGGCTGCCTACCTGCGAAGTGCTTTGAAGTCCTCAGAGGAAAAGAAGAGGCAGCAGGGATGATCTGTTTCTTCCTGAGGAGTTTTCTCATGCTCCATATCTGCACCGCGTGAAGGGCTGCAGGGAAAAAAGAAACCACTGGCAAGTTCAGTGTAGGTATTCCCTTCCCCTCACATTCAACATTATTAGGAGGAGGCCTGAGAATGAGCCGTAAGACCATGGGCAGCCCCAAGCCATCTGGAAGCTGAGCTAGAGCAGGATTTTCATCATGCACAAGGCCCTCCTGGCCCAGTTATCCATCCCAGAGTGAGGATGCAGGATCTCCCCATCCAAGGTAGTCTGTGGCCAAGGGAAAAGGAAGCGGCATCTAGGGACTGGGTCTGAGAAGGGAAGTTCAGCAAGAAAGAGCTCCAGTTTTCCCCATTCTGATCCACACCTTTCCACCCTGCCCTTTCAGAACCTGTTGAGAAGAGAAAGAGATGGAAAAGGGAAATAAAGGTAGCCACACCTCGAAGAAGACCGCGATGGATCGCAGACTGTGAGTACTTGCCATCCTTGAGTTTTCCTTCTAGGTTCCCTAACGGTTGGTACACTTCCATGGAGTCAGGGCAATCAGGCCTTCTCCTCCCCCCGGCTTTTCATCCCTTGGGTCCTGTTTAATGGCTGTGCTGTCCGGATGTCCATTTTCCTGATGGATAAGGCCTGGGTGCTTCCTGGAAGACACATCTTCATTGCTTATTAGCTCATTCCAAGACTTAGAGCACGGTAGGGTGAGTGCTAGAACAGAGAAAGCTGGATTATTCCCAGATCCATCCAAGCCTGGTTCACAGCTTCCTGTGACTTCACCAAGCACCGCCCCCCCCCCCCCCCCCAAAGCATTTAAGAAACGCTCAACAAACCGCCCCAAACTGCAGGTAATGGCATCTCAGTGGAATACAGCTGCACTTTGGCTTAACTAGGCGTGTTACCCAGGCATTGTCCTAGTGCTTTAAAACTCTGCTGGTTCTGCAAGATGACCTGAAGTTATCTACCTGCTGGAGTTCTTGACTGCAGGATGATGGGGGTGAGAAGTAGGTGTAGTTTGAGGTGAAGGGAATGGGTGCTGCATGGATACTGATCACCTTACTGCTACTCCTCAGGTCTGCAACGAGGTTCAGGTATTAGCCTGGATAACATCTAAGAGGGTGAGGGGCAGAACAGGAGGCTTGCTCTGCCCCTAGGCTGCAAGTCTGCCTCTGTACGAGGACATGAATGGAGTCTGTTCCTCCAGTACAACCTCTGTCAACTTCCTTCCTGTACACAGACAGCATCTGAACTTTACCCCGAGGGTACAGTACTTAATCTCCATTCACAGAGCTGACTCAGATCAGTCTGGCCTGTGCTGGCAGGGGTTTGGCAGCTAGCACCAACCTTCCCAGAGACCGTCGTGCCAGGCTCTGAGGGCCGCACACCTGGGACAGGCCAGAAGAGGTGAGGGAGAATTGGCGGTTGTGTTATTTTAAGAGCATTTCTTGGCCATTCAAATTTTCTTTTGAAATCTCTGTGCCAGGAGCTTCTGAGTAACCGAGTATGCAGCCCTGGGACCAGGCAAGGACCCTGGGGGTTCCTGGGTGACTGAGAATATGGTGCTGTATGGGGGGAGAGCTTCTGGGTGACAAAGATGGTCACAGGAAATAATGCTAGGCAGCTGTAAACTGGGTGTGTGTGCAGAGAAGGGCACTTCTGGCAGCAAACATAGCCAGGTGCCTTACAAGTGTCCTGATACTTTTGTTACCCCTGGTCTATGCAGAAAGGTTCTGGTGCCCCTTTCGGCATGAGACACCCCACTTGGACCTGTCGCCTGCT